TGAAAAATACCGACGTTTTGATAACGTGAATACTATTAAATAAAATAAATAGTATTGTGAAAAGATAAAATATATACCTTCCATTGTGATAAGAGGAAGAAGTTAAAAAAATGGCCTATTATCATTGATGATCTCGACCTGCGGTCAATGAAAATATCCATTTAAATGTTATTATCACAATAATAATTAAAAATTATTTCAATTTATTTATAAGTGTGGCTTGTTCTGTGCAAAGAATGAATGTAAGAGCTAAAAATGCTTTTCTAATTGAAGAGAACATATTGAATGACCTGTGACATCTCGAGTTGGTCACAGTTATTATCATATAAAGATCTTAATGATGGTACTAATAAACGCCGGATATAGTAAACTTGACACATACGTTTTTTTCTTCAAGGAAAATGATGATGAGTAGAACGAGTTTTCTTGTAATAAAATAGACTTTTTGCCTTTATAGAATAATAAATTGATACATTATAAATTAAAAAAAAAATAAACTAGTTCCATATTTTGCTAACAAGTTTGATATTATTTCTAGATCAATGGAATAGATTAGTTGTACTAATGGAATAGATAAGCTATAGCAAACGCAAAAAAACTAAAATGAAAATTTGTATATATCTTTACGTTTCAAAGGTTTCTGAACATTCTGGCATACCTTAGAAAAAATTGATGTTTGTGCGTGTGTGTATGTGTGAGTGTGTGTGTATGTGTGAGTGTGTGTGTATGTGTGTGGATACAAATTTTCGTCGACGATTTCAGGAACAAGGATCAACCGATTTAAAAAATTCAAAAATAACATTCGATTTGTATTGATGGGAAGACGTGCTGAATAGTCTTTGGCAAAGGCAGGTTCAGGCATTTTATAGATACAGGGCAAATAATGCCAAAAATGGTAAATCAAGTTTTGAGAGAACAGAGTGCTCAATTTGAATGATTCAAGAAAGATTTTATTTGTATTGACGAAATGAAAAACGGATGACTAAATTTTTGGAGGCAAGTCCAACGGTTGAGAGATCCAATAAAAAATAGAAAAAAGTACCATTTGATAGTCAAATATGATCATTAGAATTATGCACATTAAATTATCGGATATTTTATATATATATTTTAATAATGAGTACAAATTTTGTTTGCATTTCTGTGGGTCGCATACTAATGTTAACCAATATTGAAAGTTCAAATTATCAAAATATAGTAAAAAATTTCAAATTTTTCAAAAAAGTCATTTTTTTTTTCAAAAAATTCAAAATTATCTAATTTTTAATACTAAAAAACGTTTTCAAAAAATGTTAAAGCTTTTGTAAACAATTTAACTTTCGGTGCGGAAAGTTCCAGTAATTTGCCTTAAGGCAGATGCCATGCACCACTTGTTTGCCATAATAAAGCTAAATCAGCTAAATCTTAACAACTTCAAAATACTTTAACTTACACATTCAATATTTCAATAATTTCAAACAAATTGATCAATTTTAGAAGTCGCTGTTAAAATAAATAGATTATATGTTAAAACTGCAAAACAAATTGCGCACACCTCATATTCTTGATCATTAGCGCCATTATTTTGAATTTACACAATTTTCCTAATATGTAAGGATTTTTATATCGAAATAATAAATACATCGTAGTGTAAAATAAAAAACTGAAGATATTTTTACAAATTTTTAAGATAATTTTTTGGCTCACCAATAGTAATAGTAGTACTGTTGTCAACTATTAGATGACTACATATAAAAAGAGCACGAGACTTTAAAGACAGCATATTAATTAATAGTAAAATTTGTTATTTCCTTGCAAACGACAAATACACTACCTTCAAAACTAGTAACAACATGTAGGTAAATATTACTGACAACCTCTAGAATCAAACTAATATATTTCTTATTCTTACTTATATTTTCCACAAACCCTCTAAACCTGACGGTGTAAAAGCTCTATCGTGATTACAGCTCAGACAAGAGCTTTTCGTGTTAATTTTCTTATGATGTCCGATTGATTGTCGTACACTACTATTAGGAAGATACGTCAGCGGTCTTCATTCATGCTTGGCGCGCGCACTGTGCGACAGATACAGTTAAAATGGCGGCAAGGTGTCCGCGCGGCCTGTTACGACACCACGCCGATACAAGACGATGCGGGCCCGCGGGAGGGGTACGCGAGTCAAGACTAGTGATGGTAATAGGACATCGAGGTGGGTATTTAAATTTAATAAATCATTTTTTTAATATTATATCCGATTAAGTATTTAATTTAGAAACAGGTGGTACATGTCATCGTTGCTAGAACTTTCCGTACCAAAAATTAAATTTTTTAAAAAAGCCTTAAATTTTTTTGAAAACTTTAAAAAAAATGAGTCTTTGTGAAAATTTTGAAGTTTTTGAACAAAAATTACATTTTCGAAAAATTTGATTTATTTCTATATTAAACTTTGTTAAAAATATGGAACTTTTTTTCAAAGCGATCGTGCTTCATAGCTGTTTTAGAGAAAAAATATCGAGGCGCAAAACCGTGTTTCCAAAATTGTAAACAATCCGAACACACACACACATACATACATCAAAATCTTCTAAAGTTTGCCAAAATGTTCATAAACATTTGAAACGTAAAGATACTATAACTTACCCTACGGTAAGTTAATAAAATATTACGAGACTTTATGGTCATTATGCTATTGCGTTGATTAAATGCTAATTGATATATGATAATCTCAGTAGTCAGAACTTTATCAAGTTTATTATAAGTAAATCATATATAAAACTTAGAGCAAAACACTATGTTACAGTCCTTTCTTCATATAAATTGGTAACAAGAATTATCTAAATGCTATGTATTTGCTGTGTAACACAAATCTTACTTGCATCTTTCACATACATGAAGTTATGATAACATTGCTTTTGACGTTTTACGTTTTTCTGATTTTATATCTAAAACGCCTGACTGCACACCAAATACATAGCATTTTGACAATTTTTACTACCAATTAATATAAAGATTGAACCCTCACATAGCGTTGCCATAAGATTTATACTAATCGTATAATTTAGTTGGATCTGAAGCAATAATATCAAGGAGCAGTTATTTTTAGAGAAATAATATATATTTATACAATGTATATATTTTTGAAAATGTTCGAGATGAAATTCTTAATTTTTTATTTATTGTTAACTATACTTGGAACTGTAGCAATACGAGTTGGCTTTGTTAGGTGGATCATAAAAACTTTAGGTAGTCAAGATATTATATTTTTAATACATTTTTAGAAAAAATTTACATTGGTGACCCCATCAAGATTGGTTTATTTAAAATTGTAGATTTATTTACAAAAATAAATAATTTTATAAATATATAAAAATAATAATAATATAAAATAAATATATAAAAATCTGATAGTTTTTAAATTTCGTCATGACAACTATAAATTGTTTTTATTATCTGTGATCAAGGCTGATTCAAACCATTATACATTAGAATATTTTAGAAAAAAATTAGTTACCACTATTATGGCTTCCAATAAATCTATAGAAATTTATAATTCAACTTGTGATTTCACACGTCTTTCTACACTTAAAATTCCATATTTTACAAATTCTTTAAAAACACTGTCATGAATAAAATGTCTCTATTAAAAAGTTTTCGGGAGTTTGACGACAAAAAAAATATATTTTAAGAGTGACTTATATGGTGGCAAATAATTTTAAAAAACGTTCAATACTTTGACTATTATTTTGCTCGTCAAACATATAATAAAATTTTAATAGTAAATTAGTAATATTTTTTATTAAAAATAGAAATAGAAATCAAAAAATCATAACTGGTATATGGACAGTATTACAGCAAATATAAAGGTTAATAATAATGATATTTGAGACTTAATATGGTCTATAAATTTGTGAATATCGAAACGATCACTGTTCTTTGACTATGTATAATAGAGTTAACTGTTGCACCCATTTCATGCATCTCTATTTATTGAAAAAAATTAAAATTTAAGTGTGAAGGTACTTTTATTATAGTCATAACGATCATAACTTTTTTCATGTTATTGGATTTTATTTGTAGTTTTTATAAGAAATTTTATAAAACCTCTCAACAACGATTTTATTTCAACACCCCAACACCTCAACTCCTTTTATGGTATTAAGTTTCATCATAAATGGCAAAATTTTATTGATTAATTTTGTATAGTACCATACCCATTTGAATTAAAAATTTTTAAGACAAAGCACAACAAAGTTACTCTATCACACTATTTTATTCTCTATAACCTTAAACTCCTATAGAAATTCGTGAGTCTTGAATCAGTGACATAACACATTTAAAGAACTTCGTATAAACATTCATGATTTCTTAATATAAGTTCAATTCGAAATATTGCAAGAATGTTCGAAAAGCTTGAAAATTCGATAAAGATATCGTACTACACTACACGTAGCGCGTAAGTAGAGAAAACGCTATAGTGGCCGTCCTTGTCTTACATTAAGATTCAATATCTTGGAAGCCCATTCATTCATATAGAAAATACTTCTACCTGTAAAAGTTTACGTTGAATTGTTGTTAGGTCGCTGCCAGCCATTCAGTTTGGTTCTGAACGTCAATACAGAATACTAGGTACTCCGGCTTAAGATAACTCGTACCACGAGCTATGCACACGCATATAATATACCGCATACGTTAGGCTGTTCATATTATTTCAAAAGTGTACTGACTTTTCATCTTCTCAGAAGATTTAAAAAAAAATTGTTGCGTGAAATTTGAATTTTTTTACGATAAATTATAACACATTCTAAGAACGTTGAATTTTTCAAGTGGTGCAACATAATAAATAAGAAGATTCCGGGAATGTTACAACAACGGTTTGTATTCCACTGTATATGACGTTTTAGGAGGAATGTCGAAAAAACCTCGTGCCCGCTGCTCGTAAACAATCTCGTGAATTCTTATCAGTTCATCTGAATCTCCTATACCGTGTTGATATAAGATGAATCTGAAAATCTGTCTTGATAAATCAAACGTACGCAGTAAGTGATACCGCGAGTGATTGTACACACAACAGTGTGCGCGCCAGTTTCAATTGACCGTCAATGAAAATTCTTAATACAATCCATTGATACTTTGATTGTCCGCGGAGACGACGCATGTGTGAATAAATACTGTGAATAATATTTAATTGTTGTTAAATCGGACCAAAATGGCTTATCAAAATTGCCTGATGGGTGCTTCGTTGTTGACAGTGATTTTGTTAGAAGGGTTGTTATTGCTGAAGGAAGCTAGCGGATCAAGACTTCCTATGGAAGTACTAACTCACAGGCCGGATCACATCCCGCTGCACGCACGAGCCCATCACTATGAGCACAGGCCGCACAAAATACACTCCATAGTGGACCGGGGACCTCTCAGAGTGCTTTATCAAGTCGGGGTAAGTTTTCACAAAATTTAATTATATACTATACGTATAATAAGACTTGTAATACGATTTTATACCTGTCACCGAACGCATCAAAAGTCTACTTCAACGTCACTTTTACAAGATTTTTTAGTTTGTTGTCTATTCAAATAAAATTAAATTTTCTCAAATGTAATTAGTGATTGATAATATCTTCTAATTGTTAGAGATCACTTTAACTAAAACACTAACTTAAAAATGACAAATCGTATTCATTAATATTATTATATATTAAACCCATTGTGCTAGACTCTATATATAGAGAATATCTAACTATTAAAGCTCTAGAAAATACCATTTTCACTGAAATATACTTGTTGCTTTAAATGTTGATTTAAAAATTGATGAAACTTATTAGTTTATATTATTATATATTATATCGATAACAGTGCAAAATAGATATGGAGTTTTTATTTAACAAAGCTCTAGATATGGAGCTCTTTCTCTTTCACTGAAATACTAATTTAAAAATAACAAATCTTATTCGTTAATATTACCTAATAAAGCTCTAGAAAATACTTTTGATCTGTAATTTGAAAAATTATAAATCGTATTCATTGTAGAAAATATATATGTACTGCATTTGTATTGGAATAATTGGCAAGAAATTGAATCCAGTAAACTTATACTAATTTTTAAAAGAAATATTTAAACAAAATATTACAACCATTATATTAAAAACCTCACATCACATTTTGCTTTATAAACCAATAATAAAAAATAAAAATTATTAAAGCTCTAGAAAATTCTCTTTCAATAAAATATTAATTTAAAAAGATCGTTTTTAAACAAATCGTATTCGTTAGTATCATTATACATTATACCGATTATGATAGTAGTTCTAAAACGTATACAGAATTTCTAACTAATTTTTTTTTTTGCACTGTAATTTAAAAAGTTGCATCGTATTCGTTAATATTATTATATAATATACGAACTGTAATAGTACACAAAACATATGCAGAATTTGTAATTATTAAAGCTCTAGAAAATTCTCTTTCACTAAAATACTAATTTCAAAAAATATACGTAATTTCTAAATATTGAAGCTCACAAAAAATTTTTCTCACTGAAGTACCGATTGAAAAATGACTGAAATGATCATTAATATTATTATACCTCAACCGATTTTGATAAGACAACAAATAAATTGTGATTATTAAAGCTCTAGAAATATATTTTTCACTGAAATCTCATTTAAAAAATATACGGAATTTCTAATTATTAAAGCTCTAGATAATTCTTTTTCACTGAAATACTAATTAAAAAATGACAAATAGTATTCATTAATATTTGTTAATATATTTCAGTATCGTACGTAATTAATATTATATATAGAGCAATTGTAATAGTACACAAAAATATAACAAATATCAAATTAGTAAAGCTCTAGAAAATTCTCTTTCACTGAATTACTATTTTAAAAAACGACAAACCGTATTCGTTAATATTATTATATATTATACCGATTATAATAGTACAAAAAACATATACGAAATTTGTCCTTATTTAAAGCTCTAGAAAAGTGTTTTTCACAGAAATACCAATTACAGTCAAACAATTAGTATTCCTTAATTATTATATATATAATATATTATACCAATTATGTTAGGGAATTTCTAAATATTAAAGAACTAGAAAATTCTCTTTCTATAAAATACTAATTTAAAAAATGATAAATGACGTTTTTGTTAATATTATTATATATTAAACCAATGGCGATAGTATGAAACATTTACAGAATTCGAGCTTAAACTGTTGCAGCAAGAACAATATAAGTATTTTTTATTTCAGCTAATATCTTTTATAGAGAACAAAAAAAAATCTTTACTGGATCTATTAAAATAATTCGAAGAATAAATTAAAATTTACTAATTAAATTTAAATTAATATAGAGAAAAATTGCTTTACCGATACTTCATGTCATAATCTTTATATTCTGTGTGAGATAAAAATTAGTCTGTAATATTAGTCAAAATAACATGATAAGAAAAAACTATGGTCGATTTTCAGTTCCTAGTGCAAAATATTTCAATAAAATGATGAAAGAAAAATTTTATTGATGTAAATAAATCTATAATTTTTTTTTTTGAAAAATAAGTAAATTTAAATAATGTAATACAAGTCGTTAATGGACTCTATATGCATGTGCATAAGCCAGTACGCCAGTATTTCGTAATTTTAAACTTGGAATCATTCAAATAAATTTATCTAAATTAATGCTTTTCCAGTTCATTTCACCCACCTTCGACAGAATTTACAGATTTAATAAAATATATCAATTAATGTGGAAAATAATCTGCATAGACGAATAGCGCAACGTAAATACCGGACATGTCTTATCTACTTGGAAACTTGTTTTCCGCGCTGTTACCTCTGCTCATTGATCACTTAATATCTAATATCTACATCAATGGATGTATGTTTATGTGTATAATGGCAAACTTTTTCTATATCTTCATTGCTCAGAATTTTCTATTGACTAATATAGTAATAGTTTTCATGACTCACTGGGAAAGGATTCAATTTTATGGGGTGGTTTAAACGATTACTCATTCGCGAGTTAGTCATCATTAATAAATGTTACGACAAAATATAGGATAGAATGGGGCTTAAAGGTCCAAGGGGTAAAAAGGTTCACCAACATTATCTAAAAAAAAATAAGTAAAGTATAGAATTTCTTAGGGTCACTATTTTAAAGTAGAAGACAAAAAATGTGTAACCTTAATTCTTTCGAAGTCGCTATCAGGAGAAACAAACTCCCATGTATCAATATCTATAACAAAAGTATTTTTTTCGTTGGCAGTTTTTTTTTATTTTGAACTTTTTTGCTTAGTTTATAATACCAGAATATAAATATTAAGTATACGTTATTTAATTGTTTTATAAGACGTGTTGTTACTTTTAAGTTAAATTGAAGTTTTTTATTTATCCTTTGTATAAGCTTACATTTGTGCCAAAAATGACTAACTGAATGTTACACTGGTGAAGGTGTGAACAAAAAGAAAATAGTAAATAAAAAAGTAAATTAAGTTAAAAAAGCTATTTTACAAGAGATAATTTAAACTAATATTTTTCCCAACTCTGCTGATGAATATTTCTGAAGAAATACCAGATCAAAGTTATATACGGTGTAATCTTTGTGAAAAATTGTCCCCATAAAACTTGTATTTCACTTGGGTTTAATAATATAGCTATTATTTCGTAACATCCCTTTAAAATTAAAAATAAGACATTGTATCTGTTTGTCCTCTAGCTATCCCTTTTAATAACACCTATAGGGAAAAATGGGACAGATGACAAATTTTAGAAGAATAGCTAAAATACCTATTTTTATAATTAAGAATTAGGTGGGAATTTTACTGAACATAGTTCGATAGTTGTTTGTTTGACACGTGTTATGTGTTGTAGAATAGTTTATTTGGTTTAGACTGTATAGTTAATGAAAGTCAAATAGGACCCTTGTGTCTTGATCTACCCTAACGCAAAGATACCAATAAAATAGAAAATAATATTAAGTATGAAACCACCTAAAACATGATAAGGGGCCGTTCAAGTATTACGTAAGCATTATAGGGGGGTGGGGGGGTTATTGATTTGCATATTTTGCTTATTTTGGGTAAGAGATTTGCTTACTTTTGCTGAAAAAGGGGAGGGGGGAAGTAAATAATTGTAATAAATCAGCTTACGTAATACATAAACGATCCCTAAATCTTAATTTCTATTTTTACCAAAAAACGAATGAGTAAAAAAATAATTTAAAAGTAAAAGTCAACCCGATCAGTTAATTATTTTTATAAGTCAACTTTCATTATTTACATCGTCCAACACTCTTTCACACAATATGTTTTCAGCTGCAAGGATATGTAGTACCTTGAAAGTTATTACTAAAGGTCATTCGGAGTTTACATAACAGTGTTTTACTCCTCGATTTTTATGAACCGTAGCCAAAGCGTGAGTAATAAAAATATAATATTTCTTCGCAGTTCAAACTCTTGGAATTAATAGACTTCGTATTATTTATAAAACAACAAATACGAGGATCTCGTTACCGCTTCACGGTAATGCGATCAGGATGGATTGTATTTTTTCAAACCCCTTATCGTCGATTGCCTTATAGGAAATATAAGAAACAAGATCGTAAATTATAATATGACATTGCTTGAACTCTTTTAAACATCACGTTCAGCTCATGTACGTATTTGGTTCGAGATCGAATTATTAACAAAATTAGTAATTTGATATTGTTATAGAAATCGCTTTAAAATTCTGCTCACTTGTACGATTACATAGGATTACTATTCATTGGATACTAAAACGATTTCCTTTAGTCTAACTGTAATTCTATATTCTGAATTGCAAAAAAATTAAAGTAGAAAAGAGAATTATCGAAATAAAATCATAAATATTATTATATATAATTAGAAGTTTATTTAAAATACTATGGGATAGACTAAATAAATTTCATTAATGGAAAAAAATAATCATATGTTTAATTTTCCTAACAATGGGGGAGAATTACGTATTATATGGATCCCAAAATAAACATTTTATTATGAATGAATTTATCAGAGAATGGCTCAATTAATAAATATAATTACGCTATTGATATGAGTAATTCATTGTTCTAATCAATAATGTTTACAATAGCTGATATGAATTTAGCTATTAAGATTACGATATCAAATTTGCTGTATTCGAAAATAAATAAACATTAAAATATAATAACAATAGCAAGGTAGGTACAATAACTAACTGCTTCAAATCATAAAAAATAACAGTGCATTAATTTCTTTTATATGATCCTACCCGTGAAGGTTTTTAATAAAAATATGGTGTGAAGAGATTTACTCTTTGTAACGGACACCTGAATATGCCGAGCAAGATATAAACTAATTTTTTTTTGCAAAGTTTAATATGATATATTAAATCATTCAAAAATTTAGTAATTCAATAAGATGATATATTCAATC